CGCCCGAACAGACGCCACCGCTGAAGACCGAAGACGGCGGTCACCCGATGGCCGTCGACTCGTCGTCTCCTTCGCCTCCGATGCGCAGCGATTCCGGCGGCGGCGGCGGCGGCGGCGGTTGCGCGACCGCGGTCGCGTCCTCGCTGTCTTCGTCGCTGCCGTCGGCCACCTCGCTGGGACGCTCCCGGGCGCTGGTCAAGGCGGCCATGGACCCGGGCGACCTGATGATGGAAACGTGGAACCCCAGCCCTCCGTGGTCCGACTGCTGTTCCAGCACGTTGCAGAAGGTGCCGGACGTGGACATGCTGACCGGCGGGAACAGCGGTGGTAGCGGCGGCGGCGGCGGCGGCGGCGGCGGCGGCGGCGGCGGTAGCGGTTACTGCGGCCAGCCGACGCCGCCGACGCCCGGCAGCGGTGGCTCTTACCATCACCCGTCCTCCGGCGCGCCGCAACCGCAGCACCACTCGAGCGACGAGGTGCCGACCGCTGACCTCCTCCATCAGAATCACCACCATCACCATCACCATCACCACCATCAGCCGTCCACGTTCACGTTCGACTGGCCCGGCGAGCAGTACGTGCCCAACGTTCACGAGGCGCTGGTCGAGCCCACGCCGCACTATCTAGTCCCGTTCTCGCCGTGGCCGCACGCCGCCGACCACCACAGGCTGTTTCCGCTCCAACCGCCGCCGCCCGGCTCGCTGAGCCGACCGTCGCTCATCTTGCGCGTCGACCAAGACGCCGGTGCACCGACCGCCGACACGTCCGTCCAAGGTAAATACGCATATTTCACATGTCACCGAACTCCTCCTAAGCGGCTCGACCGATTTCTATTGGATTTCGCGAGCGCGATCGAGTTTGAGAAAGGTTTTTGGATTCACAGTTCGATCCGATAGGAAATGTTTTTCACTCGCACGAAACGGAGCGTCCGAGTTGGGTCCCGAGTGCTAGGGGCTAATCGCGGGTAGCGTACCAGTTGGGTCCCGGATTTTTATTGGTTCCACACCGGTTGGGTCCTGAATTATTATAGGTATTACACTGGTTCCTGAATATTTTTCGGTAAGTACTACTTTATACTAACATTTTCTTTCCCATTTTAACAGACTTATGACTGGCTATGATCTATTTGGACCACACGTATGGTTAAAAATGTTAAAAATCGAGTATAGAAACACATATCATATAATATAAGCCATACGGGTAAATGAAAAAGTATTAAAAATGTTTAAATCATTACGTGCATGCTATAAATAAAAATTAAATAATATTTTTTAAAAATCGCTTTTGTGTTGGTAAAAATGTATACGACATTAATTTTACAAAATCGAATCGATTTATTGTTCCTGCAATTTTTTTAGTCGTATTTTCAGTTATGAATTTTTCAATCTTAGTAAAATGCAGTTCTTTTTTTTCATTACTTCTACACTTCTCATTTTAATATAAGCATCAATTTGTACATCCTTTAAAACTTATTAACGATTATATTGAATTATTAAGCGATTGTTAACTAATGTAGTGCCTATAAAAATCCGGGACCCGACTGGTAGCGTAGTACCTAAAATAATTCGGGACCCAATTCGGATGCAGCCGCACGAAAAACAGGTTTTTTTTCTTGAACCTGTCGACGTCCGTCGGGTCCGCTAGTATCTTAATAAATATATGTCTATATTCTCTCTCGTAGTTGATACCGTGCGGTAGGTTTCGTGAAGGTGATGTGTTCGCACGTGTCCAAGTACAATCTTATAGATTTATGTGTTTCAGTGCTTGTAAACGTGTAAAAGTTGTACTTTTCGTACCGAATAATTTTATTATTATTTTTTTTTTTTTGATCAGCGGTCGTTGTTCACAAACCCTACGCCCGTGCAAAGGGAAGACGTGTTGAAATAATTTTACCCGGAACAGCGAGTTGTTCCATCGGTTTTTCATTGTGATCCGTGCAAAACAAATAGATCAGACAACGTTGTGATGCACACCGGTAGTGCAAAACCTGGGGGTCGCGATCCCTGAGATGGTCGCCAACAATTCAACGCCGAACGGAAAAACTTTTACACGATGTACATTGTTTTGTACAACTTGAGACACTAATAAAAGTCTGATTTTACGTTTCGGATTAAACCAAGCCAAAGAAATATTGAGATCGCCTAAGAGCAACGGTTTGATTTGTAGAGATAAAAAACGATTGTACACTTGACGTACGCGCGCACAACGTTGGTAGGTTTAGACCTCGCCGACCCGGTTAGCGCCGGAAGACGGGAGGGGGGGGGGAAATGCTCACATATTTCTCGCGCACACTATTTACTACCTTATCGAGTTCCGAGGCTGGTGGCCCGTGGTATTTTCGTCATCGCGTTAAATTAAAGAAACCGCATACCGATGATGGTGTACAATACGCCATTAGGTTTACGCGTACGCGTTCGTTTTTTACGTACATAACCGCGCGCGCACGGACATAATACGGCGCCCGGAACGCTGTACGTGGAATCGTATTTATTTCTTCTTTTTTATTTATTTTTTTTTTTTTCCATTCGACCCGCGTTCCCCCTACGGTTTCGGAAACGTGTACAAAACTAATGGTAACTTTTTTCGCCGCTGCCTATGGCGCCACGCTCGGTCGACCGTATCATTACACGCGTTTCTCCGCTGTCGCGGTCGCCTCCCGTCCCCCCCGTGCCCCGTGCCCCGTGCACCGCGCGCAGGGCGAACCGTACGGTTATTGTGTTGTTCTTCTTTCGTTTTTTTATTTTTATTTTTTCTTCCTCCCGTTCAGTGGCGTATTTAGGAATTTTTCATGGGGAGGGTCCAGATAATTTTCAGAATACAAAGCCGTGGGGGGGGGGGGGGC